ATTCCTAGGGTCAAGGGAATGAAGGATCTTGCGACTGAATTTCTGTTCAGGAAATTGTTAATTGCTGGGTAGTCTCCCTAGCTAGTTTATCTCTTTCATGAATGTCTGTCTCTTTTCCTGGTTCTGAGGAGATGGCACAGTTGAGGAATAGAAAAGTGGTTTGATCCATGTCTTCAACAAAGGATTGGTTGCAGGGTGCAGACTCAGCTCAGCTCACATTTCAGTGACCACAAAGGCTCACAGGTGGTGCAGTTCAGCCTTTCTTGCATGTTCTCTTTGGTCTTGTAACTTGGTCTCTTCCTCTGTGCTTATTAGCAGTAAAATGCTTTTGAATCTCAGGAAACCTTGTTTGCTGCAGGGATAAGAAGGCAGAAAAGAAATAGAAATCATCTTTATATTTCTCCATATCCCCAGAGTGGATCTCCTACTGTATATCCTCACAGCTCCATCTTTCCCTTGCAGTATTTCATGTGATTATACAAAATGAATTATTCACTCATCTATGGTGCCTATCTTCTTCATCATAGTGTAAGTTCCATGAGGCAGGGTCATGATGGTATTGTTTGCTGCTTCATCCCTAGAGCTAAGCATTGAACCAACCATACAGTTGATACTCAGTAAATACTTGTGCAATGAATTTGGACTGGAGTGAGAACTCCACAGAAGAATATGTCTCCTGTCATGGGGTGCTAGACTAGAACCCCACAAGGCTAGAACAAGATGGTATCTTGGGTGACTTTCCTTAAACCCTGAAATTTCACTAAGAATGTGTATCCCAATAAAGGATCTGTCCTCTTTACAGCCTTTGGACACACAGCCAACCAGCCCTCAGGTGGGTTTATGTAAGTAGCTCTGAGGGTAAGAAGAATCACCTTCTCTAGGGTACTCTTCTCCAATCCCCTGGCCTACATTTCCTTTCTCTCTCATGCCTTTCTTGATCCCCTATCCTCATGCAAAAGTATCCCTTTTTCTAGCCTGCAGCCTCGTACTCAAATGGAGAACTCTCAGCTCCTTGCCCCCCTGCCCGGCCCCACAAACACCATAAGCTAGCTACAGGTCCTTCCTGGTACCACTGGAACTCTGCCTAGAAGTGGTAATGCTGATGGATTGCTTAAAGCACATGAGTACATGATGTCTGGACCATACTCAGTAGGAGGGCATGATTGTGACTACAAAATAAGTCACTATGGGTCCAGGGAACTAAAGATTTGCTTTCTTTCTTTTTTTTTTGCAGTACCGGGATCAAACTTGGGACCTTGCACTTGTGAGGCAGGCACAGGGCCACTGAGCTAAATCCCCAGCCCCTTGCTTCCTTATTTTTGTTGTTGATGGCATCATCTACCTCTAACCTGGATTTACTTTATTCCCTCCATTATCAAATCTCCCACAGAAGGTGTGAACAAATAGACAGGCATATCTAGAAAAACCATCTAGAAATGGAAACAAAGCTGAGATCTCATTCAAAAATGATCCTGCAGGCCGGGGATTTAGCTCAGTGGTTCCGCTGCCTGCCTCGAAAGTGCAAGGTCCCAAGTTCAATCCCCAGTACCAAAAAAAAAAAAAGATTCTGTGGGAGACATAGAAGGTATAAAATGTGTTCTACCAAGACTTGTCACATAAAGGAGATGATAGGAAGGAAGGAAAAGGATAAAGTATATCACTTTGATGAGAAGGTAAATCGCCTCTAGCTTCTGTAAGGTCCCTTTTGAAACTGAAAAAAAGTGTTATTTTCTTGGCTTTCTGGAGGAAAGGATGGTTTTGGTTCTGACAGGCCTCAAAGTCGACAGTGTGATTACAAACTCCTGCAGGAGCTCTCTCATTCAAAGATTCCTTTCAAATTTTCTCTATCTCAAACAGCATAATTCCATTTTGCTGGTACCAGCTGCTGGGAATGGTACAATGCAGACAACAGTTCTGAACCTATGTCCATCAGAAACAATGCTAACAGACTCTTGCCTGAAGGTATCCACCTTACTATGAACCACTGGGTGAGTGGAATATATAAGAATAGATGCTATGGGGGCTGGGGATTTAGCTCAGTGGTTGCCTTGCAAGCACAAGGTCCCGAGTTGGATCCCCAGTACCAAAAACAAAAACAAAAGAATAGATGCTATGGGAAGATTTAATTAATTTGTTTTGCCCTTCAGATAACACAGCTTATAAAGCCTTCTACATTCTATTATTTCAATCCTAAAACAGTTCTTCTGTCAGGCATGGTGGTGCACGCCTGTAATCCCAACACTTGGGAGTTCAAGGCTAGCCTGAACTCCACAGTGAGACCCCATCTCAAAAAACAAACAAACAAACAAACAAAAAGTTCTTAGGTGGAAAAAAAAACAGCCCTTCAGGTTATCAGAGCAGAGATTTTTATCAACAGTTTGGAAATAGGTAAACTAGTCTCAAAAGTAACTTGTCCAGAACCATATACCACTAGTAAGTTGCTGAGCCAACTGTTAAGCACAGAAATTTAATTCAAATTCAAAATTAAGACTCAGGTTTTGCTAAAGTAGTCCAAAGGCCGCCTGAGCCTCAGATGCTGCCCCCTGGTTGTCCTTTTTAACAAAAAAAGTCAATAGTCTGTAGAGTCTCAAGGACATGGAGAAGTACTGGTCATGAAATCATTAGGAAAGTCCAGGGGTGAGCTCCAGGGCTACTTGATTACCATATTTGCAACCTCTAAAGGAAGTTTAAACAATATAGGAATGCCAAGAACCTCCTGAGAAAATTTTTAAGCTATGTTGCATAACCTGTCTTCTGAGGCCATATGGGCTGATCCACACTAGGGAAAGGCTCAACACAGAGTAGGGAGTCCTGATAGGTGAACAGCTTGGCCTGGCCTTGAGCTCTCAGAATGGGGAAGCTTGTTGGATAATGAACTTCCTGGAGTCCACTCAAACCTCTATTGATCACAGGCCTTCTCCAGAACTTAGGATTACACCAAGGGGAGCAGAAACCATCCCTTATTTCTCTCCCTGCTCCTTGGGGGCCACACTGTTGGATTCTTGTTCCTCATCCTTTTTTGGAGGCGCAGGACAATTGTTCAAAAGATTCATGGGTGAGAGGCATCAGCATCCCTTTCCTGCTCACTCGGCTGATATAACACAGATGGTTAACACTGACTCAGCTCCTCATCCTTTTCCCCAAAAGAATGAGGTACCTTAGAGTGTGTCTCATTGCCTGGTACAATGGAGAGATGGATACTTGCTCACCTAGGAAGGATCCATGAAGTCTCTAGTTTCAGACAGGCAGAGAGTTCATTGCTTTCTAGTGTAGGCCTGGGGCACGAGATTCATGTGGCAGACTTGAGAATCTGCCACCCACATTTTCAACCCTGTTGTAGAAGATGGGGTACACTGGTTCATCAAGGGGCTCAGCCCAGCCCTGGGTTGTCTAGGAGCGAGATCTCCTGATAGGGACACTCAAGACTGGAGATCTCCACCAGGCTGATTCTTCGCTGAACTTGAAGGTGGCCTTCAGTCTGGTGCAACTACAAGCATTCCTGGTACTGCCCAAGGTGGGAATCCAGGAGTTGGAAGAGAACAGTTCCTTGCAGCCATCTAGGATGAGGAACTGCAGAGTGATCACCAGCACATGTGGGACCAGCATCATTCTGGGGCACAGTACTTGCCTGTAAAATGAGTCAGGATAGGTTATCAGAGGCCAGAGCTGGCCACAGGCAAGGATGTGCTTAGGGGCCCATGCCTTAGAGACTGGGGTGGAAAGAAAGCAGACCAATCTTGATATTTCTCATATTCCTGTTCTGTGCTCAAGCTTACAGTTCTACATTGAGTGCTAAATAGAGCCCTAGGAAATTATGAGCAGGTCAGTTGAGTTAAGATATTCACTTCCAGTGAAGAGTCCCAAATCATATTGTCCATGCCCTTTGCTCTCTGGCCCATCCTCCCTATCAGGACATATCCTTTTCCTAAGCTAAGCCCCATAAATTTATGAAACACTCTTCTATGTGTATGCCTCATCCATAGAACATGAGGGAAACTCTCAGAAAAGGCTCCAGCCACCTCAAACTCTACTGTCTCTTTTCCATCCCCATCAGGGGACAGAGACTTTGTCCCTTAAGATTTGAGATGGGAGCTCCATTCACCATTATTCCCTTTTTTCCAGATTTCAGGGCAGGATGAGGGAGGAGAGCTGCCCTTCTCCACTCAGTAGGGGACAGAGGAGAGACATTGAAGAAGCCCGAGACACCACTGGCTGAGCCTGGTGGGGAGGCAGATCTTCTCAATCTCCCATCCCTGGTCTTAGTCCTAACTCCATGTTGGCTCTTTCATGAGCTATTAGTCGAAATCATCTCAGACCTGCAAGGGACTCCCACTCCCTCTTTCCTCAGCACCTCCCAGTTCCCTTTCATAATCTCTTCCATAGCCTCTGCACATTCCTCCTCAGGCACGATCTGGGCACACAGCATTCACCTCTGTCAACCATCCTTCCTTCCACTCCAGCTGCACATCATTCTCACCTTGCCCTCTCCCCCTCCTATTCAAACTCCTGACTCCTAGTTCCCTCCCAAGCCTTTTTCTCTTGTTCTCTGGGAGGGAGGGAGGGAAGGAGGGAGGAGGGAGTGGAGGAAGGGGGGGAGAGAGAGAGAAAGAAAGAGAGAGAGAGACTGATAGGATTGGTGGCCATCTTACCTTGTCCTCCTCTGCTCCTTCCCCCAGGAGGCCACAGCTCTCCCACTAAGGCAAGAGGCAGAGGCAAGTGAGAGCAGCTGCTCTCAGACTCCTTTGGCCCTCTGCTGGCTCAGCTAGCCATACCTTTGTCCCCTGTTTCTCTAGGTGAGAGTAGGCACCTGCAGGGCCAGGTCCCTGTCTCCTTCCCCATAGATGCTATGGGAAGTTCTGAGGGGCAGGAGCTGCAAAAACTGGCAAGGGGAGCCTGGGACAACCCAGCCTACAGTGGCCCCTCTTCCCCACAAGGGTCGCTGAAGGTCTGCACAATCTCTAGTGCAGCACCCACCCAGCCCCAGCCCAGGAAACCTGAAGATGGACCCCGAGAGAAGACACACAGGGGCCTGGTATCCAGCTGCTGCCTCCATTTCTGTCACAGTATCAGAGGTACTGGTTGAGGGGATATCTTTCTTGAGGTATTGGACTGAGGGAGAAAGGGCCACCTCAAGCTTTTAGTGAGGAAAGGTGACCTGAAGAAGAGGTGAATCTTAGTGTCTCTGTGACTTACCTGTGTTAGAGCTGCTTGCTCAAGACACAGAGGCCAGTGTCATAGTCTTCCAGAGAGAGCACCTGGCAGTCATTACCTGGGGCATTGTGGGGCATGTGAGAGCCAGGTTGAGGGAGGACATGAGGTGATGAGCCCCTAGACACTCCCATCTGGTACAGACACCTCTCTTTCATGACTTCGTTCTCTGTGACCCAGTGCCTGTCTACCTCAGGGAGTTTGGAGGATGACAGGCATGGGTGTGGGTAGAGTAGCCAGGTTTTACCAGGGAATGGATAAGGGGCTGGATTGGAATCAGGGTGAAGCCCAGGGTGGGACAACTCTCTAGGAGGAATGTTGCTGTTGGAGACTCTGCACGTCTCTCCAATATCCCTAGGACTTTGGGGAACAACGCTGACTGAAGACACAGCTGAGGACAGAGAACTGTATGTCAAGACTACCCTCCGAGAGCTTCTGGTATACATTGTGTTTCTAGTGGACATCTTTCTGTGTGAGTAGCCTCTATCGTCGTGGACATCTGACTGTGAAAAGCACCTATGTGTGTAGTATCTATACGTACACATCAGCAGGCAACACCTACGGGGCACCATCCATCTGTGTGAGCAGACTGCATCCTGGGAACTCTATATATCTATATTCAACTCCCATTTACTGCCTTTTCTGCTTAATATATTTCCTAGAAAAAGAATTTGTCATAGTGGAAGAAGGAAAATTATTAGAAAGGCTTTTAATATAAGTTATTTTGTCCAAAATTGCAAGGGAACCTAGTTTTTGGGTTCAAGTTCCTAACACCAACTCAGAAAGCACTATTTTCTGTTGGAAATGTAGAAATTTTTGTCCTTCTGTAAAGGGAAATCACCTCTTTCCGTCTGGAGTTTTTTGCATGGTTATTTATTACATACATCTTATCCATGTTTCTTTAGAGAGAAGAAAACAATTGAGCTCAGATCCCTAAAAAGAAGGCTAGGATACAATAGTGATAGCAGTCCCATGTGAGAGCCCACCTCCCCCCCCACACACACAGAGCTATTAGCAGAAATCATCTCAGACCCGCAAGGGACTCCCACAGTCTCCCTCTTCCCTCAGCATCTCCCAGTTCCCTTTCATAATCTCTTCCATAGCCTCTGCACATTCCTCCTCAAGCACCATCTGGGCACACAGCATTCACTTCTGTCAACCATCCTTCCCTCCACTCCAGCTGCACATCATTCTCACCTTGTCCTCTCCCCCCTCCTATTCAAACTCAGAAGGCACAGGCAGCTGGGGACTCTTCTGTCAGGCTCTAGCTATTCAACAGAGTTGGAAAGGTTTGGTCACTAAGGTCACAGAAGCAAATGGAAAGAATGAAGGGTAGACTATGAGAAGATAGAGTCAAAGAACTATAGGTAAGAATAAGATTGAACCACATATACTATCAGGCCATATAGATAAGGGTAAAAATCCTACTTAGTTCATTCTTTCCTTAAAGTGTTGCAGGACAAGTGAGGTCTACCTCATTCACTAGAGGTGTGTGTGTGGTTTTCTGTATGTATTTGGTGACTAGAACTACAGCTTGTACCCCCACCCTGTGGAGCCTCCCTTGCTAGATGGACTCTGTCCTCCAGTAGCCTCTGTGGTTTTGAGAATGCAAGGATACACAAAACTTTGGAAAGTGGTTTGTGAAGGTCTGATAGCAGAGAGGTGGCTAGGAAATATCATCAACTCTTGGAGCCATGCAAACTTATGTGAGTCCCTGAGGGCTGGGCAGAAGCATTTGTTTCTGGACATGCTCTGAGACTCACTGTACTTGGCAGAGGGAGCAGCTCTAAGTTCTTCTTTCCTATAGGCAGCAGAGCATGAAGAAGACCATGTCTGTGAAATCAGTGGCCCAATTGGGGCACACTTTATGGGGTCCATTCCATCTTTTTCAGTATATTTGTTGACATATTGATTGTTCCTTCTAACCATCTGCTAGGAAGGAGAGTTTCTCTGCATCTACCATTCCCATGACAGTCACCAAACCCACAGGCAGAGCTTTTCTCTACCAATGACTGAGATGTATCTAGTTCCACATCAGTTTAAGAAAGAGTTGGGAGGTATCTACCTCTCCAGAGCTACACCAAACCATTTTGGACTTCTCTGAATGGGGTTGGAAAGGTGGAAGCTTGGGTCCTGGACATGCAGAAGTCCCATCTGTCCCATGGTCTCCACTCCCTGAGATCTCAATGCCTTGATGGATGCCAGATGCTCTGTGCTTGCCAAAGTCTGAGTTACAGACTCAGTCAAGCAATTATAGAATCCTGGAGTGGCCAGGGGCTCTAGAGGTTATCTCGGTCAAGGTTGCAGAATATGCAGAATTCCTTCCCTGTGGCCTCTCCAATGGGACTTGGTCAAGTGTCCAACTAGCCCCATCCTTCATTGTCTCATGGGGAGCCTGTTCTACTGTGAGGAGCTTTAATTCTTTCCATTTATGAAGCTTCCTCTTCTGTGCCAGGCATTGGTCAGAGATGACTGGTACCTGAGCTATTACTTTCAGAGTTTCACCTCCTTTTGAGAACTGTCTTCTATTGAGCCATCTACTTTTCTGCTATTCTCCTATTCTCCTTTGAACTGTTGGGATGAATGTAGTGATAATGCTTCTCCTTGGTCATCTGTTCTTCAGGCTAAATAGCTTGTTTTCTTACCAAAGCAGTCAGTATAACATGGTGTGCAGAGATGCTATTATGCATAGATTAAAGCTATGGGCTCTGAATTTGAACTTTTGGATCCAAACACTACACTGTACCATTAACCATTTGAAGAAACTTAAACAAGTTGCCTAACTTCTTTGAGTCTGTACCTACCTAATCCAATCATCTCATCTGTACCTACCTAATCCAATAGGATCATGTGGGCATTATGTGGGCTACTATTTCTGAAGTCAGAAACTCAGCCTGGTATATCCTAAAAACTTCTTCAACTGCTGGTTGCCTATCTCCAGACCTGATCAATTTGATGTCCATTACTGAAGAAAATGCTCCATGAGCAATGTGATCCATTACTTCTGTTGTATCCAGATTTGGGGGATCCATGAGTACATGCACAGGAAATGATATCTAAGCTGAGACTGAAAGAGGAAGATCTGGCCCCTTGAAAGAGAAGTTTCTGGAAAGAAGGAACAGTTTGGCCAAGGTCCAGTAGGGACAGAAGGCACAGTTTAGTGAAAGTGCATCATTGTGGTTAAAGCAGAAGACTGAAAGAGCAGAGTGGAGAAGAAGTCAATGCTGGCTGCAAAAGCAGGCAGGTCATGAAGGCCCTTACTGGCATGACATGGAGATGGACCTCATCCTAAGGCTATCAAAGGAGCCCCTGAAGGATTAAAATTATAGGAGTGACACTATACATCTGAGTCCCTCTAATTCTGGGGAGAAGATAAAGACCTGTACTTTGTTCAGGGAAGAGAAGTATCTCTGGGAAAGTTGCATGGGAAAGAAGATGGGCCTGTACTAAGCACACTCATGGAATATTTTATTTAACCCTCACAACAGCTTCATCAGGACTACTGAATCAGCTTAATCAATTTAGTATAGCATGCTGGTTAGCACTTGGGCTCTGAAGTCAGGTTATCTGAGTTCAAGGCCTGGCACTTTCAATAGTTAGCTGTGTGATCTCAGAAAGTTTGCTTACCTCTTTTAGCCTTGGATAATGATCATACCCACCTGATAAGATTATTGTAAAGAGCTAGGTGAGGTGCTACACACCTGTAATCCCAGCCTTCTATGAGGATGAGGCAAGATCGAAGGTTCAAGCCCAGCCTGGGAAATTTAGCAAATTAGTGAAACCCTACCTCGAAACAAAAATTTAAGAGGCTGGGGATATAGGTCAGTGATGAGGTCCTGGGTTCAATTTCCAGAAACACACACACACACACAAACACACACACACACACACGCGCGCGTGCCCAGATGGTTGTGAAGTTTTAATAAAAGTATTCTACCAATATTGTACTAAGCATTTAGTGCAATGTCTTTCTGGAATATAGTAAATAAGGCCTATTATCCTTTAATCACAACAGATATCATAAAATTATACTAAAGTGTCATGAACCCAAGTGCTGATGGAGACTAAAAACAGCAGAATTAATCTGAGACCCTTATATCTCTGAAAACCTTATATTCCTCTGGAGTTGCAAACCTTGAAATCATTATACTACCTGAAAATGTGCCATGTAACTGCTTTGACCTTAAGAATTGAAGTCTGCACCTAAATGCACCAGTTTTACAAGAACATTATGAAACACAGCTGGGCGTGGTAGTTCACACCTATAATCCCAGCACTCTGGGAAACTGAGGCAGAGGGATCGCAAGTTCAAACCCAGCCTAGGAAATTTAGCAATTCAACAGGACCCTGTCTCAAAATTAAAAATAAAAAAGGGCTGAGGGATAGACTTCAGTGCTGCAAAAACAAACAAAAAAACGTTTTATGAAACAGAATCTGATCATTTCTACAATAATTAATAAATAATACCCCTGCTAGTTTCCTAGCCCTCATTGTTTTCCTGCCTCTTCCTTCTTTCAGCAAGTCTTTAGGCAATATGGAGCCTTGAACAGGGTCTCAGAAGGGCCACTTTGGTTCTATCCAGTGTCCTGGCCTCAACTTCCAGGCCTCCTGCTCTCTGTTAGCCTCCTTAAGTCCTAGCCATTTGAAGTTAGATGATACATTCTCGGTGGAGATGATGGAGCCCCCAAAGGTATGAAAGGAGATTCTTGGAGGATAAAACATCAGTAGATATTACAATAACTTTAGGCATTCCATAGGGTCACAGTATATAAACAAATATAGAATCTATCTGTGGTATTAAAATTTAACTGGGGTGAGGGGTTATTAGGAAGAAAATGTCTAAAGAGGATCCTGGAGGGATAAATAATGCAAAAGGAGTTAAGAAACATGAGACTGGACTCATCCAATTTTTCTGGTCAGTACATTTATTGGACTCAATATGTTGACTCCTAGCTAAGGATAAGGAATATAAGTCCTCCTATACCTAAGGATAAGGAATGCAAATCTGATTCAAAACAGGCAGCAGTTGTGTCATTCTATTGGGATGCTGTCCTCTAATAACTGGAATGCCATACATGGGCTATACTTCTCTGCCTTTATCCTTGACCATGTGACTAGTTCAGTAAAGCTGCCCACTGCTCCAGGATTCATGTTTAGTGTCAGGGTAAACACGATGGCCTAATGGAAACATAAGAACACTGGAGTCAGAAAAACTGGGCTGGAATACTAGTTCTGTCACTGATTGGCCCTGTGACCTTGGGCACTTTCTTGTCAGTAAAACAAGGATAATACTACTTATGGAGATAACATATACTCTAACTCTCCTACTTTTTTTTTTTTTTGGTATCAGGGATTGAACTCGGGATCTTGCAAGCTTGTGCGTCGGCGCCGGAACATGTACTCTAACTCAATGAATGGTAGTAAGTACAGTTTGTCTTAAGTCTCTTATCTTTGATTACTAGTGAGGATGGA